TCAATGGAGGGCGCGGTGATGCCGACTCTTTCGTTGACCTCGGTCACCATGGGAGGGCAGGTTCTTAAGGGCTGGAGCTGCACCGTCCAGGTTGCACGTCTCGCAGCTCCTATAAGTCGTGCACACTGGTTCGGTCGGCAAGGCGCTGCTGGCGTGTGACAGTGGTCAAAAGGAAGTAATTAATCGGGCTCACCACTAGACCAAATATTGTTGTTTGACGCCTTCGTAGCCGTGCCAAGCCTTGGAAGCACCATGAAGGCTGCCGGTGGCAACAGCCTATTTCAGATATTCGGGCCAGGCATCGAGGGTGCCGAGTGAGTTGATGGTCCCGAGCCACCCAAAAACGTTATCCTGTGCCGCGGATCAGTGTAAATTGCTTGGAGCCAGCGATGGCGGGGACGCGAGCGAAAGTCCGATGTAGGTGCGCGTCAAGTAGCTGAATTGCTCCGATGGCTCTGTGAGAGGACGGAGTAGCATACGGCAACTCTCAGGTGAGGTGGCCTCGAGATTTCGTGAGGCGGCTGCAGTAAACAAGGCACCGCTTGCGCAGTATGCTGGTAAGGTGGCAGGAGGCAGCCTACAGTTCGACTCAAATAAGGTGTTGTGACGCGGAGTTTGCTCTAGGTTGACCCGAACATAAAGCAAAGACGGGCATCTGCGTAGGGTAGAACGACCTCTGTAGTCCCGCCAGCACAACCCATAGTCAAGGACGCATGGACAGTGTCCGTGGAGGCCCATGGGATGATCGAATTAGGTTCATGGGATTCATGAGGATAGGAGTTTTAGCCGCAGTCCCATACGAGAGGAGCCCGGTCAGTGCCCTTGCATGAATTGATGTCATGGCGCCTATGAAGGAAATTTGAGCCAATGAGGATGCCTGGGCGCTGACCTCGGAAGGCGTTTGCGGCGCGGGGTGGTTTGCAGCGCCATTGCCGAAACCTAAATTGATAAAGAAATTGCTTGTTTCTCGTACATATGAAGGCTTCATATAGGTACTGGACCCACTGAAGTGTCCCACGGAATACACACACACACACGTGAATATATATATGTATATATATATATATATATATATATATATATATATATATATATATATATATACATATATATATATATATATATATATATATATATATATATATATATATATATATATATATGAAGGTATGGGATATGGAACAACGGGAGCGTTGTCAACAAGAATAAATATATTTATTTCCCAACAGTTTCGCGAGGGGTCCTCTTTTCATCAGGGGATGAGTTATACTGACATGAGCTTCCAAACTTCGTTGCTGCCGCGTCCCTCTTGCCTTGAAAGACGTTTGCGAGAGTGAGAGGTAACTAGAAAAAAGGGGGGGGGGGGAAACGAAAAAAAGAAAGAAAAGAAAGAAAGTAAAAAAGAGGAAGAACCACTGTCAACACTGAGAACGAAGCCAACTGTCCGTCTACATCCACATACGGTTCATATCACGTGCTGTTCAGTTCTTGACGTGTGTCGGGCCACCCATATTGTCGCCGGGGTGCCGGGAGGGTCCGTGATGGCGTGCGTAAAGAAAGGGGTTTCCCCGTAATGGGTCGTTCGGCGGGCGGCGGGTGGCGTGCGTAAAGGAAAGGTTTCTCGTTATTGGGTCGGTCGGCTATTTACCTTTAATCTTCGTCCGTTTCCCTTCAATGGTCATGAAGTGACCATTCATGACCATTGACTTCATGACTTCATGATCATTGAAGGGAAACGGACGAAGATTAAAGGTAAATAGCCGACCGACCCATTAACGAGAAACCTTTCCTTTACGCACGCCGCCCGCCACCCGCCGAACGACCCATTACGGGGAAACCCCTTTCTTTACGCACGCCGTCACGGACCCTCCCGGCACCGCGGCGACAATCTTGGGTGGCCCGACACACGTCAAGAAATGAACAGCACGTGATATGAACCGTATGTGGATGTAGACGGACAGCTGGCTTCGTTCTCAGTGTTGACAGTGGTTCTTCCTCTTTTTTACTTTCTTTCTTTTCTTTCTTTTTTTGTCTTTTTTCTCTCCCCCCCTTTTTTCTAGTTCCCTCTCACTCTCGTAAACGTCTTTCAAGGCGAGAGGGACGCGGCAGCAACGAAGTTTGGAAGCTCATGTCAGTATAACTCATCCCCTGATGAAGGGAGGACCCCTCCCGAAACTGTTGGGAAATAAATATATTCATCCTTGTTGACAATGCTCCCGTTGTGCCATATTCCATACCTTCACGATGACTAACTGGCCGATTAAATTATTACTCCCACTATATATATATATATATATATATATATATATATATATATATATATATATATATTGTGACGTACTAGACAGAGAAGAATAGACAACACCAGATCCTGGGCCAGCTGTTCTTATTCTGTCTTCGTTCTTCTCTTTCTTCTGTAGTCGCGAATGCGCCTGGGCCTGAGCACTGCACTTGTCATCCTTTCACTCGGCCACGCTGTGAGCATGCAGTCCTGCTAAGCTTGCCCTTCTTTGGCACAGGTCCTTTTCTTGGAAGGTCGAAACATTCAGAGGGCTTAGGCTATGAACCACTATAGGTAGAACTAATGCCTCTGGTGGGCAGCATTGGCTGCCTCGCATAGGCCGGTCACGGCCACGGTGCGTCTTGCGTTGAATGTAAGGCGATGATGTCTCTGGTGGGCGCCATCGACTTTGTCGTGCCGGTTTTCGTGACCTGCTTTAAAAGTCGGGAAATGATGGCTCTAGTGGACGCCATTGAGTGTTTCGCAATGGTCGTCTTCGGCCCGCAGGGCCGGAGTCCTGAGTTGCCATTACCCTCTCTGGCGGGCGGTATTGGCTGTATCTGTGGGGTCTCTCTCGTGGGCGCCATGACTTGCCTTGCGGGGCTGTCGAACACTCTGGTGGGCGACCTTGGCTGTCTCGAGGCGGCCGCAGCAGCAGGCAATTCAGTTGGCGCAGTTTGGCGCACTGGTCTTCATTCCCGTCAGCGTTGTGGACAGGCTGCGATTTCCGGCCATCATGCTTTGACGCAGGAGCCTCTGCTCTGCCATCATTGGCTCCTCATGTTCTGCAGCCACAAGGAATCAAGATGCTCCTTGGTTGTGCTGTACCGCGGTGGCCATGCAAACTAACACCACCATAGCTGCACATGATGCTGCAGACACCAGGGGCGTATGAAAGCCTCACCTCTCTGCTCTGTGTGAGCTGGTCACCGGCTGACCAATCTATCTCCGATTCCTCCTCAACGCACACTGCCTCCTGGTGATCCTCACGACATTCGGATTGTCTTAAAGTCAAATTGCATTGCCCGTGATTTCAAGTAGGGCTGTTCACCGGGAGGCAAGTGCTGATGTTGACTTTGCTTGCAGCTTGCGGCACATCACTATCATCGGCCAAGGCGTAGTGAGCAGATACGCATAAAACAGGCACATAGTTCAATAATCTGTCTTCGGCAGACATGGATTGATTGAGTGAAGCACTCTCACACTCGGCCAATGATTGCCGCGTAGTCGGCAAATCCCCCACCACTTGATCTCTGAGTCTGCTCTCCTCACTGGTATCACTGGAAACTGTTGGTATCGTAGACATTTGGGATGTGTCATGTCGTGACCCATCCGGCAAGACAGGGGTGGACGACTCCACGTGCCCAGGAGGTGTCGGGTTCGAAGGCCGCAATGCCGATTGCTGAGGCTCGAGGGTGGTCTTGTTGCCTGTTGTGAGACTTGAGGACCGCGATGAGACATTGAGCTGCCGCGCCACTTGAGCTTGATATATGGTAGTGGGCGCGTTGACGAAGAGTTCAGCTACCGTGCGCCCCTCTGTATTTCCCCCCATGAAAGAGGACGGGGTGGCCAATGGCTGACACAAATTTGGGTCCGGTACCAGCGACGAGTCTGGAAGCTCATGTGAAGAACTGGAGTGCTCAGCTGGAGCCTCGCGATGGAACCCTTCTTGAACTCCATCCTCGTACCGGTCAGGTTGGACTGGGTGGTGGTGGAAAGGTGGTAAGGATTAGGACCAAAAGCAGCTATGAGCTTGCAGCTCCACTACTGTTGCTGCTTCCAGCCTTTTTACCGGTGCCACGCCACTGCACCTTCCCAAGACGGTCTACAGCCACGGTCCATTTCTGAGATTCCACCCAGGCCTCGCGCATTGCTATCGCGTTGACGGTTGCCACCCTGCTGTCGGCGTCGTTCTGGACCCCGTGGAATTCCGGTAGTTCGCAGACGACTGGTGATTGTGAGGTGGCAGGTGGCAACGCAGAGATCACCGACGCGAAGCAGTCGAGCTGGTGTGAGAGCTCGATGAGAGAAGACCGAAGCTCCCTGCTTTGCTCCGGTTTGCTTGCCTCAAGGTTGTATGAAGCAGCTACATCCAACACTGCGTAAATGTCACACAATGTTGGCAACATTGTAGGAGCTAACTCGGCGATCAACGCTGTCAGTTTGTTAGTCTCGGCGTGGAGTTGCGCGATGGTACGACGCAGTTCCGCGGCACTGTCGCACGAGGCTTCTGAACCGCTTTGGTTTGCGTCCCTGAAGTAAGTGGTTCTAGTAGTACTCGCGGCGTTGACACGCACGTCCATGGAAGCATGAACAGCGTTTCTTGGCGGCTCGTATGTTGGAAGAGTAGCGGAAAGGAAATGCAGGCCATGGAAAGCTTGAACAGCATACCCAAAGGACAGGAGCCCATGCGTATTACGGCTGCGAAGTGGTAGCATAGTGTCCATTGGGTGATGCCCTGGTACTACAGAGCAGGCATAGACACCGTCTACTGAAGGTACGATGGGCAGCTGAAGCAACGGCCGGGATGTTGACTCCATCGCCAAAAAGCGTGAACGGCGTTCCTAGATGGAAAAGCCCGCACTGCCGACGAACCACGAAGACACGTACCGGTGGCTTCCTGCAGAGGGTTCACTTGTCGGCTTGCGCTGACGGCAGAATTCACAGCCAAGAACACGTGGACGGGGTCCCTGGTGAAACGGTACCGGTAGCACTAAGCCGCACAAAGCACAAGTCGAAGCCTGTCTCTTCATCTCTGGCCGGTTGCGTCCACACCTGGTACCATCATGGCTAGCGCCAAGTGGCAGGGCGAAGACGAAGCCGGAGACCAGGCGTCGTCCGGTTCGCCCAGACAAAACGGCAAACAAGGCAACGCCCACAGGGAAGCTGGCATTGTTGAAAAGCTCCTGCACTCTTATGGATTCATCCGATGCTGCGAGCGGTCGGCGCGACTGTTCTTCCACTACAGCCAGTTCTCGGGAAACATTGAGCACCTGCGCATTGGAGACCCGGTGGAGTTCGAGATGACCAATGACCGAAAATCGGGAAAGCCCGTAGCCAGCGCTGTGGTTAAGATATCTTCCGAGGCCTTGTCCAGCGAGGTGCTTAGCGATGAGGTGGCAACGGGCTTCATCACGACCGAAGCCAAGGACGGTGCCGAGGGCAGAGTGGCGTACGAGAACCGCGGCGAGTGCTTCTTCCTGCCGTACACAGAGCAGGACGTCGAGGAAGGCTACACGCTGCACCAGAACGACAGCGTGCGCTTCTATCTGGCCACCTGCAAGGTGACTGGGGCCCCCTGCGCTAAGCGGGTGCGACCTGAGAACGCCCCCGCCAAGGGCTCACCGGAATCGCGGGCACCTCCGCGCAAGAGCCTGCCGTCGGCCTCGCCGTCTGGGCAGCGCAAGCAGGGCGTCGTCTGCGCCCTCAAGGACACTTTTGGCTTCATCGAGCGGGGAGATGTCGTCAAGGAGATCTTCTTCCACTCAAGCGAGTGCAGCGACTTCCGAGCCCTCTCGCTGGGCGAGGACGTCGAGTTCACTGTGCAGCTGCGCAACAACAAGGAGGTGGCATGCAACATCACGCGCCTGGCGCCTGGCACGGTCATCTTCGAGGACGTCGACCCTGAGGTGCTCCAGGGCCGCGTGACGGTCGTGGCCGACAGGGGACGGCCGTCGCAGGCAGCCGCCGCGGATCCTCTGCCGGGACGCATCGTCTACATGCGGGGCGAGGAAGAGCTGGAGATGCCTTACGGGGAACGCGATCCAAAGTGCGAGTACTCCCTTCAAGTTGGTGACCAAGTGCAGTTCAGCATCGCCACCGACCGCCGGGACGGTCTCCAGCGGGCCACCAACATTGAACTGCTCGACCAGTCGTTTGCTAACGAGGCCCGACAAGTGGGTGTTGTGGCGACCGTGAAGGAAAGCTTTGGCTTTATAAGCTGCCAGGACCGCGACAGCCAGATCTACTTCAAGACCTGTGAACTGCTCGACCCGGACATGACTCTGCATCCGAGCGACGAGGTGGAGTTCACGGTGGCTCAAGATCCCGCATCTCCCAGTCGTTTCTTGGCCACCCGAATTCGCCGCCTGTGGTCCGTGTGCGATGACCAAGACGGCCCTCGCACGAGACGCTCGCTCTCCAACGGCGATGGGTCTGCCGTCAATGGCGACGAGTCCAAGAACTTAAGAAACAGGGGAGAGTCTGGCAAAGGCTGTGGTGGACGAAATGGATTCCGGTACACGCACCGTGGCTACATAGCGGCCTTGAAAGAAAGCTTTGGCTTTATTGAAAATGAAGAGCACAACCAGGACGTATTCTTCCATTTCAGCGTGTTTGAGGGCAACCCACAAACCCTGGAGCCTGGCCAAGAAGTGGAGTATGGAATGGTGCTCAAGGGCACCAAGCGCAGCGCCGAGTGCGTGCGCAAGCTCCCAGCCGGCACCCTCGCCGATCCCCAGGAGGTCGTGAAGCCTGAAATTCTCAACGGCACCGTCGAGCGCCCCGTGCGTTGCTTTAACCCAGATCAGGAGCAGTATGCAGGACTCATCCGCCTCAGCACTTCAGGGGAGAGTGCAGAGCCCACCGCCAGCTACCCGTTTGGCATCACTAGCCTGGCGGATAAGCACGAGCTGCTCCAGAAGAACGATGTGGTGCAGTTCCAGGTTGCCGTCACCGGATCGGGTGTGGAACGAGCCGTCAACGTTGTGGCTGTGCGAGCTCGAGTGCAGGCTACGGTGGAAGCAATCAAGGGCCAGTTCGGCTTCCTCTCTTACGAGGCCGAGGAAGGGCGCAAGCTGTTCTTCCACACGTCCGAGGTCAAGTCTGGCAACCACCTGCAGGTGGGCGACCGTGTCGAGTTTGTGGTGGTCTACAACCAGCGCACCAAGAAGTACGCTGCCTGCAGCGTCGTCAAAGTCGGAGAGTCGCAGCCAACGCAACGTCCAGAGCGTCTTGTAAGCCGGCTACGAACCCTCTCCACGGAGGACTCCGGTCCCCGCATCATCATAGTGCGTCAACCACGTGGTCCAGATGGCACTAACGGGTTTGCCAGCCGCGGAGGGGAGGCAAACTCGTCGGCAACAGTTCTCGAAGAGACCGAGGATGCCACCGAATACGAAGAAGGACGGGGGGACGTAAATTCTCAAGACGGAGCCGAAGCCAAGCCCGACGAAATGGAAGTCACTGACAACACGCTCGGTGCTATGACCCCTGTTGAGGGTGAAGTCCAGGCCTAAATGGTTTTTAAGCTTAGCAAGGGAAGTCTAGGGATTTTGTTATTCTTTTGCTCTTTTTTTATTGCTCTTTCGTGATCCCCATTTGTGCCGGAACCCTCTTTTCCGGTGCAAGGAAAATGAAATGGAAAAAAAAAAGTGGGTGCCACGAGACTGTAACGCGATTTTTCTTCTGCATACCACCTGTTTCTAGGTTCTGCGCTGGAGCGTGTTCGTGGCGACTTTTCTTTTTTTTCTTGGTTTATTTCTTTCCTCTGTCAGTGTATGGAAGTGAAAACAATGTGGCGAATATTATCTATTTTCTTCTTCAGTTCAGCATGTATGTTATGTGTGTGTGTTCTCATTTTTTACTAGTGTCTTTTATATAAGTTTCACAGTATGCAAGTGTCGAGAAAGCTTGTTGTTCAGGTATTTGGAATTTGAAGTCAGAACTGTGAAAAAAAAAAGAGAGAGAGAGAGAACGGTGCGATTGCTGTCTCGCAGTGCTTTCCAAGCGACTATGAAAGTGGTGTGTGCGTCTCTTCACCATGGCTCCAGTCTTGTTTGTGTGTCGTCCTGCCTCGGCTTGGGTTTTTCTTACAATTTTTCTCCCAATCCTCTCCCCTTATCACCTGTTGCACTGGTACAATTAGATAATGCGCTCGTTTAGGAAACTTCGGAGTGGTGCAGTTTCTAAGAATCCGGCCGAGGCAGGCTCCTTTTCTTCCGTTACGTCGGGTATCCCGACTATAGGCCTGTACTGGCGCACTTCATTTCTTTTTGCAGTCTTCTCATACTTCTCCATTCAGTCAGCTTTTTATGTTTTTGTTATACCTCTTCAATCTATGCCCCCAATCAAGCTTATCATTTTTTCTCCTGTGTGGTGATCTGTAGGAGTTGCACAACAACTTTGATGGATCTTTTCGTGCGTTTGTACGTGCATATCCAAGCAACGAACGACATCACTAGCACTTATAAAGGAATACGAACTGGCTGATACGAGTTGATTAAGCACAATGTTCTCATTCCTCTCCCTCTCGTCGAAACCGCGGCGTGTTCCACCCGTATGTCTACTAAAATCTTTTGCCTCCACACACACACGATGCCGCCCTAATACCGTCACGTGAAAGCAATGCTCTTTGGGATTAATACTCAAGGCATATGGTCGGCTTCTGTACTTGCACTAACCCCCCCTTTTTTTTTTCACTTGTTGCTGCTGCGAATTTGGCAAATTCTGGATTCAAACTCATGGTAAGTCCCTCATCGAAATGCTTCTGATCCAGTTCTAGTATCTAGTATCAGCATTTCGACTTCTTGCCATATTTTAACCAAGTTTACCTACACTGAGTTTGAAACAAAATGTGTCATCAGCAGTTTACGGTTACTACACGACTACCCTGACGACGACAGTTTCCTGTGCCCTGGTATATGAGTTTTTTTGCATGATTGTTGTGTTCGGGTAGAAAATCTAGTGCACGTGGAAGACAATTTGAAGTTCTTTCTGACCTACCACTGGCCTGGTATATCTGGAATTCGCTGTACGACTCGTCATTTGCGGTTGTCTAGCTGTGCTTTTGCAGAGACAGGCTCATACTGTTTGGTCCCAAAATTTATGGCAAAAACCATACTGTATGTATGAAAACGTGTAACAAAATCCAGAAATCTACACTGTTGAAGGAAAAGCAAGAAGAGTATGACCAAATGAGTTTTCTTTGCATCTACTGTTCGCAGCTTGAGTGCGTTTAGAAGCAAGGAGCAAGTGTTGGAATGAACTAGGTCTAAGCGCGTACTTGACACTCCTTCGTAGTTCTTAATTCCGACAAGGAGCAAGTGTGTTGTCGAGCACTTCGCAGTCATCCACCGTGGGGAGTGACTTTTTAACATATGGAAAGTGCGGGTGAGTAATTCAACAGCCTTGATTTCCAAGAAGTTTTCAAGTGTACGTCGAACAGTCTGCACGGTTTTGTCGCGTCACTTCGGTCGCTTAGTCATCGAGAGTGGTGTTTGTGGCATGTTATGGATTTTGTATGCCTTTACCGTACGGTGCGTTTCTTTGCAACCCTCCTGTAACAGTTGAGGCCTTCCTATTAAGGCTATCTGCTTTACCTTCGTTTTATTTACATTGGCTGAATGAATTTGCTGTTCTTTGTTGCTGCCTTGAAGATTCTTGTTTTGTTTGTACACAGCGGCATATAAGTAAAGTTTAAAATTTTTTATTGAGGTTACAAGTGGAGTTGAATGTTTTATCCTCCCTAATTAGGGGATGAGAAGCATTGAACAGCACCATTTCAAACCGGCAGCACTGTAGGAAGGTTTGTCACTTTTGTAGGCTTACAACTGCAGTACTGCGCTTGAATGTCAAGGAAACATTTTTTTTTTTTTTGCATTCCCAATTTCGTAGCTAGAATGCCAATGTCTTTGTTCTGCTTTACGCGCTCAGCAAAGACACAACCACACGAGACGCTAGCTAGCAAGGGACTGTTTATTGATGGCTGCCGCGCCGCGCGCGCGCCCTCTCTCAAGGTGGCCAGGTGAGGTGGGATCATCCCGATTTATTAAGCGGTGGCCCGCCTGGTACATCCTCCTTTTTCTTTAGGTGATGTAGTCGGCAAAGCGCGTCGGTGCTCTACGTGGCCTAGTTGATCTTCTGAGACTCGAGTCGGCTGCTTCTTGTGCCTGGCAAGTGACCTTATGCTGGGACGGGACCACGTCGGGGTCCCTTGATGGTTGACTTGCAATGGGTGGTGCACGTGCAGCTGACTGGTTCAGTAGAGCATCCGATGCAGGCGCCTGTTGTGACGGATGTCGTTCCTTTCGTGATGCGGATGCTGTTGTCAAATCGGGCGCTGTATCTGATGTTGAATGTTGTCTATGCTGTATAGGCGACGGGATTATCGGTGCGACATCCTTGTCATCCAGTGGGTCTAAGTGTTCGGGCGTCCTTTTTAGATGCTGACGATTCCTTCGATAACGCCGGCCTTCATCGGTACAGACTATGTAAGATCTAGGGCCAGCAAGTTTCGCTACTCGGGCTTTCGGAAACCACCCCTTGTCGTTTCTTATTCTGACGACGTCCCCTTCGGAGAGAGGTGTGAGAGGTATGCCTTTGCCGTGATCCTGTGGATGTTTCCGCACTGACGATGTCGAAGCCGATGAGAAGTCTGGAAGTCGTCCCCGAAGCATCCGTCCCATAAGGAGCTGACTTGGTGTGCGTCCGTCTATCAGGGGCGAGATTCGATAATTGAGCAGTGCAACCCAAAACTCCTCGCCAGCGTACTCACTTTTCTTCAAGAGGCGCTTTACGACCTGTACCCCTTTCTCAGCTAGACCATTGGCCCTGGGGAAGTGTGGACTGGATATGGTATGAGTAAAATCGTATTTTACTGCAAACTGTCTAAACTCTCGCGATGTGAACTGTGGTCCTCCATCGGTACAGACTTCAATGGGTATACCGTGGCGAGCAAACATGGTCCCTAGTGTGTCCACTACGACCTGACTTGTTGACTGAGGCAACTGTTCCACTTCTGGGTAGTTGGAGTAGGCACAGTACGCAACCAGGTAACGCTTGCCCCCATGGTCAAATAGGTCGACACCAATTCGCTGCCACGGCCGCGTTGGGATTTCCCTCGATAACAGTGGCTCTGAAGGTTGCCGGTAGGCAAAGTGCTGACATGTGGCACACTTGCTAATGAGTGACTTGATGTCAGCATTCATCCCAGGCCAGTACATCAGAAGGCGTGCTCTGGCTTTGCACTTGCTCATTCCCAAATGGCCTTCATGAAGACGTTGCAGCATGGATCGCCTCAGACTCTTTGGGATTACCACCCTGCTGCCCCGCAAAAGCACTCCATCAACATATGACAGTTCTGACAAACATGGAGCTAGTTCGCCTGAGACTGGTCGTCCTTCCTGGAGTGCCTCCACCACTTGCTTGAGGTATGGGTCCGCCAGGATTGCAGAGGTCAGTTCAGTCTTCGTGTTCTCACTTACGATGCTGGCTAGCACGCGAGTCGCATGGATGCATACGTCTTGTTCGCTTTCTCCGTCACTCGGTTGGGTTCCTGGAATTCGGGACAGTGTGTCCGCCACTAGCAGATGCTTCCCAGGAACATATTGCAATTTGATATCAAAAGGCATTAGCCTCAAGAAATAGCGCTGCAATCGTGGCGGCATTTCACTCAGGTTCTTTTGTGAAATAGCAAGCAAAGGTCGGTGGTCTGTTTCGACTGTCACTGATAACCCCAGTACGAACTCCCGGAAACGCTCACAAGCAAACGTCACGGCCAGCGCTTCCTTTTCAATTTGGGCATATTTTGTTTCAGCCTTTGAGAGCACCCTTGAAGCATAACCCACTGGGCGCCAATCTTGGTCATGGAGTTGAAGAAGAGCAGCACCTACTGCAAAGCTTGATGCATCAGCTGAGAGTTTCGTTTGCTTCAATGGGTCAAAAACTGCGATCACTGGAGCCGATGTCAAAGCCTTAATAAGATCTTTCCATTCTTTGTCATGGTGAACTTCCCATATGAATTCAACATCATTCTTTATCAATGACCTAAGGGCGTCAGTTCTTTTTGAGAGATTAGGTATGAATTTGCCAAAGTAATTCATAATACCTAAAAACCTTTGAACTTCCTGTTTACTCGACGGCTTTTGCATGTTGGCAACGCATTCAATGAGACTAGCATCGGGTTTTATTCCTTCTTTGCTGATACAATCTCCCAGGAATTTAACTTCGGCCTTCGCGAACAGACACTTTTCTTTGTTCAGTGTCAGGCCAGCCTTTCTCGCTGCCATCAGTGCTGCACGCAGGCGTTGATCATGCTGCTCTTTTGATGCACCCCAAATTAAAATATCATCGACATATACGCGTGTGCCCGGCAGGTTTTCAAACACTTCCGTCATTGCCTTCTGAAATACTTCGGGGGCGGACGCGATACCAAATGGCAGGCGCAAAAATCGGTATCTTCCGAACGGCGTGCTAAAGGTGCAGATCTTTGAAGTGTCTTCGTCTAAGGGGATCTGGTGAAACCCGCTATTGGCATCAAGCTTGGTGAACATCACCGCTCCTGCCAGCTCTGCTTCTATTTCTTCACGTGAGGGTAGCTGATAATGCTCGCGTTTAAGGCTTCGATTAATGTACCGCGGGTCTAGGCATATTCGCATGCGGCCATTCTTCTTCATAATAAGAACAAGTGGACTCACCCAGTCTGACGGCTCTTCCATTTTGCATATGATGCCCTGCGAGACCATCCGGGCCAACTCCTGCTTAAGTGGCGCTCGCAGTGCGTGTGGCACTTTCCTCGGCGGCATGATCGTGGGGCGCGCATCATCCTTCATTGCCAGCGAATATGGTCTACGGATGCAGCCCAGACCGTGGAATAACTCCGGGAACTCGGTGACCCAGTCGGTGCTAACGTCACTTCTTGAAGATACATCGTGAACGCGGGAAATCAGCCCGAAACGTTCTGCTGCATTCAATCCGAGTAGGACTTGCTTGCCTCTCTTGACCACAAAAAAACTGATATTCTCTTGCTGCTCTCCTAGACGTAGTGGCAGACTGATAACGCCCAAATGATGTATTTTGCTTCCTTCGTAGTTAGTAAGTACTGTGGTCGATGGCCGCACCATGGTCGGCAAACGCATCCTGCGAAAGTACGAGTACGGCAATATGTTCGCTTGCGCTCCTGTATCCACTTTCAGTTCTGTCGGGTGCCCGGCAAGGTCCCCTGCCACCGTCCAATCCTGATTTTTGGACACGTTTCTGATTTGTACCGTGAGAACTTGAATGTCTTCATCGGTAGCGTCCGAGGACTCCTCCAGTGCATCTTCTGTTGCAGCGACGCCTAACTCATGAACGCCGCGTCTACTCCTGCAGCAAGCTGCAAAATGGTTTCTTTTGTTGCACAGCGTGCACGTTTTTCCAAACGCTGGGCAGCGTCTTGGTCCGTGAATCTTGCCACAGTAGCCACAGCGTCGACGTTGTCCGCTCGTACGAGACTGTCCGGCAGCGTTTGCAATTTTTTCGACTCTCTGCACTTTCGCTTCGCTTTCAAGAGCCCGGTTCTGCGTTGCTGCCAGTTCCGCGGCTTTGCAGATTTCTACAGCTGATTCTAGGGTTAAGTCCTTCTCCTGAAGCAGGCGTGCACGTAGCTTCTTGTCGACGATACCGCACACTATCTGGTCCCTCACCATCGAGTCCCTAAGTTCGCCAAAATTACAAGTCCTGTGCTTTCAACTGAATATCGCGCAAAAACTGTTCGAAAGGTTCACCATCCTGTTGTTGCCGACTGCGCAGAACGTACCTCTCGAATGTCTCGTTGCACCGAGGCGTGCAGTAGTCTTCGAAGGCTTTGACGATCGAGTCATAGTCCTCTCGTTGTTCTGCTGATAGAGGTAGGGTGTTAAACACTTCAATTGCCTCTGGGCCCGCGACGTGTAGAAAGATGGCAGCCTTCTGTGCTGGCGTCCGTTTCTTGTTGGTCTCAGTAGCTTTGAAGTAGAGTTCGATTCGTTGGCGGAACTTTTTCCAGTTGTCGGCCGGAGTATTTGTCAGTACAAGTGGCTCGGGTGGTGGTAGGCAGTCCATCTTCAGCGCAGGGTTCGACTGTTACACTTCTGACACCACGTTCTGCTTTACGCGCTCAGCAAAGACACAACCACACGAAACGCTAGCTAGCAAGGGACTGTTTATTGATGGCTGCCGCGCCGCGCGCGCGCCCTCTCTCAACGTGGCCAGGTGAGGTGGGATCATCCCGATTTATTAAGCGGTGGCCCGCCTGGTACAACGTGTACTGCCGCCGCCGAGGATGCCTTGACGCCGTCCGCGATCGGTGGTGGCAGTGGCGGCAGATGAACAGCGTCTGAGGAGGCCTTGATGCCGTCCTCAAGCAGCACTTATTGTGGCTGTCCTGGATGACGAAGCCTTTTTTTGTGTTTTGTTTTGTTTCCCTGGGAGGTTGGCTCATACCCACTCAGGGGGATTGGCCAAGAAAGTGTAGTGCAGTTTTTCTTTAATCATTTTAACTATGTGTAATGAAATTGTATTATAATAAAACTAATGTAAAAATAAAAACAACATAAAAAGAGCAAACGAAAAAAGAAAAAAAAATCAAGTTGAGCAATTTTGAGATTTGAGGTGTTATGTTTATCACTTATCTGCGTTTACTTCACTCTGCCCTTGGGAGTAATAAATATTTTTTTTTTGATTGAAGATCACAAAGGTATA